CCCCCCTCTCTCTCATGTCAGCGTCCTTGCTGGCACACGTTCTCTTCTCCAATTGATGTGGGACCCCCCAATCCACCCCACCCCCCTCGGGGCTCAACATCCTTGCTGGCACACCACCTCATGTCAACCCCCTTCGGGAGATAGCCTCCTCACTGACACATCTCCCCATTTGTAACAACCCAAGTCCACCGTTAGCCAATATTGTCCTTTTTGGGCTTTCCCTTCCAGGCTTCCCTTCAAGGTTTTTAAAATGTGTTTGTTAGGGAGAGGTTTCCACACCCTTGTAAAGAATGTTTTGTTTTCCTCCCTAACCGATGTGGGATCTCACACTAAATGAGGATAATCTTCAAAAGAGTACATGATCTTATCCAGATAGACACTTGGAAAAAGAAAGAGAATCATACTAATGTAGGGAAGAAAGTAGAAAACATTTACCTGCAAGTAATACGCATGCTCCCAAACATCGATCCCAAGCAGAGGAACGAAGGCAGATCCTTTGGTCACAAGAGGATCCTGCAGAGAATTGCATCAGCCACATGACTTTCAAATTTCAACCTTTTAATTCAATTGTAAACAAACACGCTACAAATTCTACAAACAAGTGATAAAAAGACAAAAAAAAAAAAAAAACCAGACTCCATAAAATGCTCAAGACAAAATAATTGGACAAATAAATAAGAGATCCCAGAAGGCATCAACGAAAACAGAAATAGAACAAGACTGCATATGCAACATGTTTGTAGCTTTAAAACAAATAAACAAAGAGTTATACCTGATTGGCCGTGGTTTCAACCGACAGCTTCTTCAGTTCTTTATCCAGAGCAAGCCACTAGAAAGAACGTTAAAAAGCATCAGTTAAACGTCTATATTATATCAGGTGGTGGACAAAAACGAAAAACCAAATACATATAGGGGAGAAAACATACCACCCATCCAGAGCCCTGTAAAGCAGCACCTTCTGCGTTGACCCTCTGAATCAAGGCTTCAAGAGAACCGAACTGAGTGTCGATCGCCCATCCTAGAGATCCCTTTGGAGGCTCACCACCCCCTTCCTGTAAACATATTACACAAGATACTCGAATAAATAGATTAAAACATCAAGAAATCGAGAATTGACCTAGAAACCAAATCATCGACATAAGGACTGAGACTTACATGAATAGGAGCGAGATTTTTCCAGAAAATCGAATGATTGACGTGACCTTAAAAGGAAAAGGATCGGTTAATAGGTTAAGAGACGACATACGAACTCAATTTACTCAATCAATATCGTAAGATTCCCTAATTGAGCGACTCGATCTGATTTGAATAACAATACAATGAGGAACTGAACATGTATCATAATCTGAAATCAAAAGACATCGAGAAATAAAAGAAAACCTCCGCCATTGAATTTGATGGCACTTTGCAACTTGACAACAGTGGAAGTGTCGCCTTTGTTGATGGCCTCGTGAAGCTGCTCAAGAGCCTTGTTGTAGTTGGTGATGTAGGCTTGATGGTGCTTCTGATGATGAAGCTGCATGATTTCAGCATGGATGACGGGCTCAAGAGCGCCATAGTCGTAAGGGAGGTCGGGCAAGGAGAAGGTCTGGAAGCCGCGAAAATGTCCAGACCCTATCGCTCCAGAAATTGTCGGCGTTAGGTTTTTCCTGCTTAGAATTCGAAGAGCCATTGTCGATACTCTCTCTCTCTCACTTCCTTTCTCACACACCACAATATCGACCTCAGCTGCTCGGCACAGGCGTCTCGCTACACCAATACTCTTTTTATTAATATTATTATTATTATAAAAATAATAATTTTTTTATTTTAATTAGAAGTATCAATTTCATGTACCATCGACAATCCATATTTATCTCATTGGAGTCTTTCAGTGGTATGTTTTCGTCCTCTTCTCCATTACTTAAAGAATATAAACCACTAGTTTAAGTACAAAATACTATAATTATTACCTAAATAATTAGAATCCAACCTGTAATAGCAACGATCCAATTACAAGAGCGTAGTTCTACTAACTAAGCTACATCCCGAGAACCACAAGGTGTTTTTTTTTTTTTTTTTTCTCGTGGGCATAGCTCAGCCAACGAACATTTGAACTGCAAACTTCACTCATGAATATTATGTTGTTTTAAAATTTGAACATGCTTGTTAATTATTAATATTTATTTTCAAAAAAGTTGATTTCCATTTGGTTTTGCTAAGTTCTATTTAAGAAAAATATATAACTTCAGGGCCAATTTCAAAGCATTGTTTTCATTGAGAAAAAAAAAACAATAATAATTAAGGTTGGTTTTGCTTTAAAAAATGAAAATCAATAAAGTTCGTGAAATATCTTCCGTAAGTTTGGAGAGAGATGGACTGGTTATATTCTCAGACGGAGAGCAAAGATCATCGTCAGTCTACTCTACCTCAATTCACCATTTCAAACTTTATACAAAAGGTTCTTCCGTACCAGCTTCTTCTACCTATATTGCAGTGGAAGCACCTAAAGATGAATTTGGTGTCTTTCTGGTCAGTAATGGAAGCAATCGTCCCTACCATCGTAAAATAAGAGCACCTAGCTCTGCCCATTCACAAGGACTCAATTCTTTGACCAAACATCCCGACGGTAAAATATTTCAGATTTTCATTTTTATATATATAAGACAGTTAATAAATAACTGTTTCAGTTAACCTTTTTGTTCACTCCCTGATCATTGAGACGTCTCAAAAAGACAGGAAACACAGAAGAGTATAGGCAGCATCTATCCATGTATCATCTCTCAATACGCAGTAAAATTACTGGAAATTCACTTTTTACTCTCCTGCACGCACCCATCATCTTCCACTACACTGACAGTGAAACGAGGAATAGCTATAAATCACCAAAATTGCAATTTATGAAAAATATTGTTTTTCAAGACGTAAAAACAGTCTATGTTCTCTGATCTTCAAAAACATTTGGATATGCGTCAATAATCTGACAGAATCATTTACTTTAACAATACTCATATAACTGCTAAATGAGAAAGAGTTTCCTCTACCTCTCTTCTAATTTTTATACTTCAATAATAGATGTCGTCGCACTCTTGATACAACACAACAGCAGCAATCGGCATGAGAAGCCGTCTGGCCAGCAATCTCTTCATTGCTGGGGGGGGGATATCTTGATTCAACGATTTGGGCTATAACAAAATTCGTCTGAAAAGACGGGCGACGACATTATTATGCATGCAGGTCCTTGTTTGAACTCCACGCCGGAGCTTTAGGGCCCACGCCGTCGCCTAAGATTGCCGTTCCATTTTCGATGCTTATTAGGGGATCAGATTCACTTTCTTTCACCTATAAATAACATGTAGATCGTTTAAGTTCCATGGCAGTAGAGGAAGAGATAACATGTCAATTGCAGAACTACTACTACTACTTATAGTACCTGGGATAGTTGTGCTGATGATACTTCATTGGACTTTTGTTGGCTCTCGAGGGTGCAACAATAAGAATATAGAACCATTCCAACTATGGCAACCAGAATTCCCAAAATGTTGCGCCAGCTAAATGGATCGTGAAGTAGAACATAGCCAAAGCCCAAAACTAAACATGTTTTTAGATGTCCCAGGACTTGATATGTAACTGCAGAAGTCTTTCCAATAACTAAAAACGTACTGAAGTTGACTGAGACAGAAATAAGGCAGGAGAGAACAATAAAGAACTGTACAGAGAAGCACAAAAATAATTCATGTCAGAAGTGATATATAGTTAGGAAGGGGGAAGGGGGAAGGGGGAAGAGGTCAGCAGGAAGCTAAATTGTTGTTGAACTCTCACCAGCACTTGGGGAGTGTATTTGAAAGCAAAAACATTTAGATCAGTCAGACACCAATCCAGAAATGGGCCAGCGATGAACAGAGTTAATGCCTGATAGGGACAAGACTGGTATAGAAGTTGTGTTGAAGAAACTTTGAACTTCTTCTGAATGGTGTTTGTCATCTACGTTTAACTTGTCAAGGTCTTGAACGGAAAAGGAAAAAAGCAGAAAAACTAGAGCAATAAGCCACTCACTCACTCAACTAATTAAATTAACTAAAATAAATAAATAAAAATCTTAATATTCACGTTAACTAGGAAAGGAGAATGGTGCTAGCAACTAATCATATGCTTCCAAATTAATTAATTAATTAAAAAATACACTTGTTAAAGAAATATTGTGACGGGTGGACTCGTGAAAAACGTTTTCCACTCCGCAAATAAATAGACTAGAAAAAAAGAAAAAAAAAAAAAAGAGAAAATTAAATCAGTGCTTCAACAAGACTAGCTTTTAGCCCACACTTCATAGCCAGTCATCAAAGGGCATGCAAAGTGAATACCAAGAGTAAAAGTAACTTAGCTTAGGATACAATTTGTGCAACACATGTGGTAAGAACTGCGAGGAGAGACAAGAAAGAGCCAAGGGCATTTAGTTGTAGATCCGTCACAGTTGCAATTCCAACACCCAGGAGGAGGATCGTGAGTGAAAACTGGATGCTTCTACTGCAATAGTATCACAGATGTCAATATGCTGCCAGGTAATATATTTAGACAGGATAATATAATGAAAACCTAATACACACGCAGCGAAACCATCAATCTAATAGACAAAATTGAAAAATATAATTATCATTTAAAGTGCTCACAATTGACCAACAACAAAGAAAAGATTAATGAAATTATCATAGAAGTCAAGCTACATATAAATATTTAAAAGAAACTTATCATAATAGTTAAAAAAAGAACTTTTTCTAAGTGGATATCTTAGTCCAATTATGGTTTAGTTTCCGGTCCCTGTTTCCTTCCTACTCAAATCTGTCTATGCAATAGTAAAAGAAAAATGGATGAACAGTTTGGAGGAACTTCACTTTTCAGTATGAATCATTCAAGGCAGAAGGTAATTCCTTCTTAAAACAGGGGGATTCTATTTGCATCCATCAATTTGAAGTACCCTTCTTTCTACTCTTATTCCCCCTCTTTATGATTTTTCTTTGCTTATTTAACGGTGAAACCATTAGAAAGAGGTGAAATGAAAGATTAAAAAAACAGAAATCCTGTCTTGAGGTATACTCGAGTTAACAAAAGTTTGGATAAAGGTTCTTCCGTTAATTCCAGAATCCAATCAAATAACATTTCAGATTTTACCCTCAATTAATCTTTTTCATCAGGACACCAAAGAAATAGCTGCATAAATCTCCAAATGTTTAATTTGTATCTGAAAAATAGTTCCAGAAGAGTGGAAAGAAATATAATGGGTATCGTTATTATCTTTGTGATTACACAAAATACGACAGTTAAGATTCTTTGGTGGTGGTGCATGTAAGAGCTTTCCAACTACACAGGATTAAATAAAATTTCTACCGAGCAGCATCACAGCACTTTTTTCTTTTTTTTTTTTTTTTTTTTTGGGGGGGGGG